TCTTATCCCCTCCAGCCCTTCCTTCTCCTGTTTTCAAGTATCTATTAGCTCATCAGCAAAGGACTAAATTACTATGCAGAAAAAATAAATGTCAATCCAGAATGACAATGCTTCCATGGTTCCGGTGTGGCTCTGGCTCTTTCTGTGGAAAGGTAGTAATGCCCCCACTCCCATCCCCGCCCCCTGGGTTTGCAGGGAAGCTGCAGGGGCAGCACTGCTCTCCTGTGGCTTCTGCTCCTGAGCTCTGCAGTTTAAGAGCTACTTAAGTAGTTTGCCACTGTGCAAAGTGCTCCAGGACCCAACTACAGAGGACTCCAATAGGATCCTGAACAATACTGGGCAGTTGGGGCTTAAAACAAAAGCCAGGATACTGAAGAGCAAGAAAACATGCGGCTTTCTAGACACATAAGCAGTGACAATGGCACAGGTAAGGTTAGAAAGTCTAATTCTGTAATGATCACCTGCTTCCTATAGGAATGTTTTAAAATGTTCAAAGTGTACAGTTTATTGAGAAAGTCTCGTAGTTGTTTAACTTTATGCAAGGAAATGATTAGAAGTATCTTCAAAATATTTTCACTCAGGAAAGACAGGCTCTAGTGATTCCTCTTGGGGTATACAAAATTTACTCCTGACAGTGTCTGTAAATTGTCCAAAAAAAAAAAAAAAGAGTGACACCACTTCTTATTAGCAACGTGCATTTGTGCCACTGTCCTAGTCCGGTCATACTGCTTACTTCTCAGATAAAGAAAACATTTCAAACAAGGGAGAAAGGGAGTGATCCTTTCCAGCATTACTTTTATTTTTGGCCTCCCTTGAGCAGGAAGCCTTGCTGTTCTGCAGGAAAGATTATGTGCTTTCGAGGGGAAATACTTAGTAATGAGCAAAGAGCACCTACTGTTACTGAAATTTGTATTTAGTATGTTGACAAAGGTATATAGTAGTATAATTGTTAGAGCTTAATATAAACAAAATTTATCTTTTGTTTCATAGTCTATGAATGACAATATTTTAAACCTCAGGAAACAGTTATAACCCTAGTCACTCAGGAGGCTAAGGCAGGAGGAACCTGAATCCAACCTGGGCAATTTAGTGAGACCCTGTCTTAAACTAAAATAGTTCATAGTCTTTAGATGGCTATACTAATTGGTGATACTGTAAGTACATTTAATTTGTATAACATGTAAATTCAGTCAATTTTACAATTGTGTAAGCAAATTTATAGGCTGCGAATTCCTGGTAAACAATTACCATACAGTGGATTGTCAGTGTTTACTGAAGACTTTATGGTTAGTCAATGGCTTCTGTTCCAACGGAGTGCCTACCGGACGCACATTTCCTAAACAACAATAAAACTCCACAGTCTGGACAGCAATTGTTTTTTTGCTTTTCTTTGCCCGGTATTTACATACCATTAATGGGCACAGTGTCATTCACTTGTGTGAGATATTACAATAGACAAAATCTTTAATCAAACTTCATGAGAGCCCATGGTGACTTGCTTTTGCTGTTGAAGTTCCTGAGGGGGGCCATTGTGCAGGGTCTGCCAGTTATTGGCAGGTCTCTATGACAGCATTCCTTGCTCTACAGCTTATCCTTCTGAGAAGAGTTAACCAGGGTCTTAGAATTTTTTAACTTCTACAACTTTATTTATGACCATTACCTATTGTATATAGTGGGCATTGGACCATAGAAAGTGTGTTTGAATTGAAGAATTCATTCATGTGGCCAAAATAAAACTCATAGAGTCCCACTTATCAGGGCCTTGCTTGTTTATTCACTCAGACAGTCCAACTATATGGCCCAAGCTGGTCTTCAGGTCTCTTTGCAGACCTGTGTCACCTGCCTTAACACTGATGGCAGTGCCTGCTGGTGAGCCTGAACTGTGTTCTTCACTCGAATTCCTAAGACTCAGTAGATGATAGCACCCAAATAATGACAGACTGCTCACAGAGCAGAGGGAAATGGGGCTTCTTCAACACCAACTGAGTGGGATCCCTTTCATACTCTCCAAAACAACGGGGGTCATTTTTTGTGTACTGAAGTATATGCTCCCTACAAAGCATTTCTTCCCCTGTAAGTTCCCCCCAGCGTCCTCAGACAGAAGCACGTTCACATGGCTTTGTGTATAGGTCCCGTTCTGTCTGCTTAGCAATCTATATGTGGAAGCCAACGAGAAAGGATGTCATTATGAAACGTATAAATTTGCTTACGGCTGACAGCTCACCTTGTTCAAAAAGCTGGCAAAAATCCATAGAGCATGCACTGCACTGCTCTAGTGTGGATTCTTCTGACAAGTCCAGCTTAGTCTTGGGTTTGGCTGTTGGTTCCGAGCAGTTGTATTCAGTCAGTTCATACTTTGCCTCACCTGGGAGTTAATTGCTGTTTACAATTCATGATCTTTTGTTAAAAAATGTGCTATGGATAAAGTGTTAAGCACAATTGCCGTGACTCCAGGAAAGAGTTGCTGCTTCATTTCTAAGAATTATTTTACTATCCAATGTCTCATTACTACTTTTAAGTAACGATCTAAGAAATTTTCAGTGGAATGTGTCAGAGCAAGATGTTTTAGGACAGCATTATAAAAGAATAATCACTTCAGGGAGAATTTTTTTTTGGATCCAAAAAACTATTTCTAGTTTGAATATGTATTTATTAATCTTTGTTATTTTGCTAATCCCACCATGTCAGCAAGTCTAAGGGATAAGCGTGATGTATCTGTCTCTGGCTTATGTCATGGCTGGCTTTCATTGTTCATTTATAATTTATGTAAAGTTGTATGCATTGTGGGGGTTATTGGTTTTGTTTTTATTAAACGCAGTAGGATTTATTCTGAAAGAGCCTTGCAGTGCAGGCTGCTCAGCTGGGGCAGCAGACATCCTTAGCAACATGTTAGGGATTCTAAAGGCACTGAGGTCTGCTAATGGCTCAGCATCCTTCTGCAGGAAAACATAGTGACAGCCCTCTGCAGGTGGCACATGTGATACAGCCGCATGGGGGCAGGAAGGACACCCAGCTCAATTTGTCATTGAGTGGAATGCTGTCATCAGTTGAAAGTCTTATGAACAAAACCCTTACCAATTAAGGCAGCTTTCTTCCTCATATCATTTAAAAGTAGTTGCCACGGATGAAAAATTAATATATGTTAATTGCCCTACCTACATAAGCAGTTTTTCACATGAAGACATACTATTTTGTTGAAATGATATGCTATTTGATATATAGAAATGTTGTCTATACTATGATGCTATAGACCAAATGATCCAAATCATATTCATGATTCTGTTAAGATATATCACTGATAATAGTGGAGAATCACCTCTTCTAGGATTCTTAATTCCTTTGGTTTGTAGACCTGTAAAGGATATCTTGAATGTTTTAAAAAGGTCTTTTTATTGGAGTAATTGAGAAACTGATCCAAGTCAGGCATGATGTCCCTCAGTGGTAGAGTATATCCTTAACATGTATAAGTCCCTGGCTTAAATTCCCAGCACCAGAAAAGCCAATTGACCCAATTTGTAATTATCCATAGTAATGATTCAAGAGTAGCACGCATCACTGAAAACAGAAGATTGCTACTCTTAGTTGTCTTCTCTCAGTGTTGGGGGTAGAACTCAGGGACTTACACATAGACACATGCTTCTAGACTTTTGTCAAGTTTTTTGATTTTTAAATCTGATCAGTAAATAAGAAAACCAGGTTCTTTCCTACTTGGTCGTTAATACTGGCTGTTATTTGTCTGATGCTAATTCCGCAGCATTTCCTCTACTGGAGCATGTACAATCTCTATAAAAACTCAGCTCTAAGATTGCCATTGCTGCTGTTTTCTAAGATAGATTTAGGACACCCAGGACACACAGTTTCCAGAAGGGACTTGTACCAGCTCTGGTTCCTTTTCAGGTGGTTTTGACTGCTCTTTGCTGTTGTTTCTAATCTATGCTGAGGGCAGTGACCATGGTCCCCAGCATGCCTTGGGCAGGAGAGCAAGAGACAGGAAAGGGTGTGAGAAGTGCAGAGAGTGAGTAATCAAGATGCTAAGTAGTCTGGTTAGGGAGAATAAAAATAAAAGAGTAGAAGAAATTTGGTTTAAAATCACAACAAAATGTGCTTCAGAAAGAAATGGAAAGCAAAGGCCAGAATAAAAGTGAAAATCATGTATTGCAGGTCACACAAATGTAAGGAAGAGTACTGGCCAGTGTGACTAAAAAGCTAGAAATTCATGAGAGGCAAGGAATTAAAAAATCTGTGGGAATAAGTCAGGAGATAAGATGGAAATTTCATCTCAAAATGGATTTTCTTCTTGAAATACTAAAAGTCTTGAACGGCTTAATGATGGGTTTACTTCTTATTCTGATGGTATCAGTGATAAATACTCTAAATCAGATTGTTCCTGGTTGACACTGAGCACTGCCCCGGTGCTCCCAGCCACTAAATGGAACCAAATGTCTTTGAGCCTCCGGACCTGGTGCTCTGTCTCATCCGTGTGTTTGTGCTCCTAGTCCAGCTAACATCTCCAGCATTGCTTCCACAGGACTGCGGAGTTTGTGAAGCCAAATCTTTCGCATGAAGACACCGTAAACCAAAATGATGGCTTATTTCTATGCTCCTAGTTCAAAGGAGATGAGTTTTGTACTGGATTGTATATTTCTAGGGACTTCAGACTGTCTCCATTTCTCTAAAAGAATATTGGCACTCAAACAGTAATAACCTTTGGAGCAAGAGTGTAATAGAAATTGCAAAGAGATTGGTATTTTACCTGTATATTAATACATTCAACAAAGAATATGTTTTCCTTTGAAATGACTGAACATTTGCATCAGTTGTCCAAAATGCACAACACATACACGTAAAATATTAGTTGCTATTAAAAATTTCGTTCATAGATGTGATCTGGTACCATTACACTTGAGCCTTTCCTGGAGAATGAATTTTATTCTATGACAGTGGAGAATCTCTTTACGAAACAAATTACCAACGTTTCCTCTTCCTTCTCTCCCATCCAGCCACATCCACATCCACCACTGGGACCAGCCATCTTGTAAAGTGTGCGGAGAAGGAGAAAACTTTCTGTGTGAATGGCGGAGAGTGCTTCATGGTGAAAGACCTTTCAAACCCCTCAAGATACTTATGCAAGTAAGAATGAAATACTCTCTGTGGCTCATATCATAACTGCTTACTACAAATTATTCGGTGTCTCGTGATGCTCATCATTGCTTCTTTTTTACCCTATTTTGTTGCATCCTGTTGAAAAATGCTGATTTAACTGAAATGTTTTGAAACATTTATACCATCTGTCATCTCCTCTGTTATATCCAGAATTGGTTTTGCTCTTTTCAGTGTTTGTGAGTGTTCTTTGCTTTTTTTTTTTTTTTAACCTTCATAATGTTGCTTTCCTCATGGTTTCCCTTAATATTTACCCAGAAGAGATGTGCACAAATTGTAGAAGGTGTAACTTTGGATCCATATTTCCTTGCCCACATGTGGATTGAGCTGTGAGGTAAAGCTCTTGTCATACCACAGTGCTGTGAGGTAAAGCTCTTGTCACACCGTAGTGCCCTCCTGCAGGGAGTAACACAGCTTGCAGGAGCAGGACAGGCGGCAGAAGACGCTTTTCTGACCATTTGACATGTTTGAGTTCCTTCTTCACAGCTACTCTTTTGAAAGAAAATTTAGGTTGATATTTCTGGTGGTTAAAAAAACAAGTAGCAAATGTTCCGAAACACAGTTAGAGCTGGGCATGGTGGTGCGCGCCTTTAATCTCAGCACTCAAGATACAGAAGCAGGTGGATCTCTGTAAGATCAAGTTCAGCCTGGTGTCCATAGCAAGTTCCAAAACAGCTGTTTGAGACCCTGTCTCAAAAAATAAGAAAGAAAGAAAAAGGAAGAAAGAGAAGAAAAGTGTTTAGTATGTATAAAACCATTATGTAGAGAAGCAGGGTGCAAGGCTCTGGCTGTACTACTGTTACCTCCTTTCAGGTCTAGATTGGCCCTTTCCTTCGGCTCCACCTGAGGGTGTATATGCCTGGCTAAACAGTATTAAGTTTACTGTCTCTCATCAGACAGCATAAAACATTTGTGTTTTGGCACACCAAATGTTTAAACTTTATAGTAAAAATCAATAGGATGATTAAAATGTGTTTATTGTGTCACACCTTTTAAATCTCCTATTGATAATTTGTTCTGGATGTTGTTATGTGGACTTACAATTTGATGTGGATCAAAGATGTTTTGGACTGGATAAAAGATGTTTCATAACTCGTGGATAAAAAAATGTTTCATGACTTGGCACAGTACGTAGAGTACTTGACTAGCATGCATGAAACCCTGGGTTGAGTTCACTTCAGCATGTGAACTGTACGTGGTGACTCTGGAGTGGCCATGCTGCAAGAAAGTACATGGTGTAGAGGTTGTAGGGTTATTTTTATCAGGGAAGACAGACAACTTACAAAAGCAAATCCTCTGTTAGAGTGAAGCACAGAATTCTAATCTTAGCTATTAAGCATTTTTTTCTTGTTGGACATGGCTAGTAAATATTTGAGATATGAATCTTATAAAACTTTTAAAGCAAGATAAAAAAAATGACCAAGTAGTTGCATGTGGTGGTACACACCTTTGAGCTCAGCACTGGAGAGGCAGAGGCAGGTGGATTTCTGTGAGATCGAGGAAAACCTGGTCTACATGGTGAGTCCCAGGTCATCTGTGGCTGCAGGTAGACCTTATTTCAAAAACAAAACCAAAAACAACAAAAAACCTCCAAAAGCCAAATATATAGAAAAACCTGATATTATATATATATATATCACATAACTGTATATTATTTAAAAATTGCTCTTAAAGTTAAGATTTGTTTTAATCATAAAAAATTTACTCTACTGTGTATGCTTGCAGCAGCCCAAGTCTTTCAATTTTAATCTTCAGTTTTGCTGACTTGCTATAAAAACAGCATGAATATGACACCCCTGTATTTATTATTGTGCATGGGGATGAACAAAGTTTATAGCATCCTATCAGATCTCTTATCAAATAGAAAATACCAGAAGCAAAAATTATAACCTGTAAAATGTGAGGTTCATTTGTTATATGGAGAGACCTTGGGATTCTCTCCTAATCTTAGGCATAAAATAAAATATAACTGTGTTTTAATAGATCTTGAAAAACACAAATTATATTTCCCTAAATTCTTCCCCCTTTCAAACGATTTCCCCCACATTATCTATGTCCCATATTTTACTTCTATAGAACGGCATCTGAGACCACTATGTTTTAATAACAACAATGAAATATGATCATTCTTCATCATAGCCTTTGCAAAGATTTGCAAGCTGAGTGAGTCGACGTGCTCGTTTTGGAATACCTCTAAGGAACCAGTGCAGTTATTCCCCATGTATTAATTCCACCTATTCTGTAGCCCTCCCACATCTCATACAAAACACGCAATCATGTAAGTGCTGTTCATTTGTTCCATTTTGGTGTTGTGCCAACAGCTATGATTTTTCTTTACCCACACAGTTTCTCATTAAATTTTAAGCACTATTCAGAAAAAAAGAAGTACTGTTTTTAATAAATTTTGAAGTGAAATGTTTGTTACATCTCTATTACTGAATTAGCAAACCATGAACGAGCACAACATCTCTCAAGCTAATTGGTGATCAGGCTTGTGTTCTAGTTCTCAGCAAATTGAACTTTTCCTTCCTTTCCCCTCTCTCCTTTGTTTGCTTTTTTCTAATTAGAATATGAAGAGTTTATTGTCTGTTATTACTCATGCTTTCTGAAAGAAAGCTCTGATATCTTTGAGTTTGATATCCCAGTACCTTTTGGACCACGGCTTTACTCAGGCACCAAAATAGTCTAATACCTTCGAGTAAGAATTGGAGTACATTTAACGTCTAAAATAGATAAACTCTTCTGTGCTAAATGAAAAGCATTTTTCCAACAAACAATCCTTTATTTAAAACATACATAGCATTAAAAGTAATAACTACTCAAAATTTAAACAAAGTCACATACTATGCTGTGTCTTATGATAATATATTGTTCACTAGACCACCTGAATAAAAAGGGAATGATTAAAAACGTTTCACTGGTTCATCACAATCTTGTCTATGAAGCCCGCTCATAGTTTCCATATGACCCATCTGTCTAGAGCACAAACATCACTTAAGCATGAGCTTCATCTAAAACCAGCTTTATCCTTGACCAAAGCCATGACTCAGAAACACCACAAGTGTGGAGGTTTCCAAATAGTCTCTCTGGCCACCAAATCCATTGTTGTCTTCTTGGGAGTTGAACAACACTTTACAGAAAATCTCTTCTGTTCCTTGATTTAGAATGAGTTGTTCCAAAGGGATTAGCTGTATAACAGTTAAACGGTTCTCAGAGGAGAAGTTTGCTGTCCCCTGGACTCCCCTGGGAGCTGAGTGGGACTGTAAGAAATGGTTTTCATCTTTATTTTACTCTTCTCTCTACAATAATCTAAAATTTGCCCCGAGGAAAATTACTCTTCCAGATTATGCAAATACAAGGAAAGAATAACTCCCATTTCTGTCCTTGGATGCTGTATGTCATCATGTGAGTCAAAGAAACAGGATCATTTGAACATGAAATTGTCCAGATTCTCTGTTTCCCTTAGGTCTGTTCCTCTGAGCGTTTCAGTAGAAAACAATCTTGGAAGATATGAATGGAATGTTTTCTTAATCTAAAAATTACTTTTGTATCAGACTACGCTTATAAATGTGCTCTGCTGCCTAGTGGACAGGTGAAAGAATTAGGATTTTAACCACCAGTTTTGGTGCCCTTCTAGTTCAGCCCTCTGGACAATCTCTTCGTTTGTAACATAGAGTTAATATGTTCTCCAAAAATTTTCCCAGAGAATCAGAAATTAAACGAGTTCATTTCTACTAAAGTACTTTTGACTCTTGGGAAACAAGACTGGTTTTTCCTTCTTATAATAAAAAGTGAATGGCCTATTACATTCTCTCTGTAGACACTGGAAAAATATATCCACCTGTCTTAACAGATGGTGTTGTTGTGTTTAATCCCTAATTTTTTCTTTTATTTAACACTAGCAGTTTCACATGCCATCAGCTAGCTTTGTAATCTCCCAGATGATAGATCATCTAATTCCTCTGATCACCAGCTTCCTTATTTGAAAATCAAAAATTAAAAATATGAAACAAATATAGACTTGGAAGATGGAGGATGCTTCAAACTGGGCTTCTGGGATTTTGTATAATTAATGTTTATGAACTGCATAGAAACATGTATTATATATTACTGAAAGAGTTATAAAACATATAACTTTAGGAGACAGAGCCACAATAATGTATTATAAATTAAATTTAATAAATGAATGCTAATATTTCATTTCTTCAGCTATATGCTAGGCATTTTTGAAAACACAGATAAAATATAAGAGGTAGAGCTGCTATTCCCTAGGTGCTTAGTTTGTTTAAGAAAATGAAATGACAAACCAGTGAGAGTGAAGCCTTCCAACTAGCACACTGCTGATTTTGAAGGTACTAAGATTTTACAGGGAAAGAAGAGACAGGAAGAAGTGAGAGACAGCTTTATAAACATAGCTCTCATTTATGGAGTCCTTCCCAGGTAGTAGGCAAGCCCTGAGGTTTCAAACCTTTTCTTTTTCTATTAGCATACAAAGAAGTAGGTTTCATTATGGCATCTTTCAAACAAAGTTCCTTTTTTTTTTTTGGCCTTTTTGAGACAGGGTCACCCTGTAGCCCCAGCTGGCCTGGAACTCACTATGCAGACCAGGCCGGCCTTGAACTCACAGAGATCCACCTGCTTCTGCCTCCCGAGTGCTGGGATTAAAGGCATGCACCACCACGCCAGGCCAAAGTTCCTTTTTCTAGTTACTACCCACACCTTCTCTCCCATCCCCTCCCCCAGTAACCTCTTCTCTGCTTTCTGGGCACTAGTCTTTTCAGGTCCCTGTGCCCTCCCTCTTCCCTTTCTTAATACCTCTTGTTCTCCTGTGGTCTCTTCTCTAGTTTCATAGTTTCTACTCACCCTCTCCACCTCTTTATTTACATACACACAAACACTAAAAGCTGAGATTCATGTATGAGAGAGAACATGGCATTTGCAGTCATCTTTTCTGTGAATCAAGGTAACAT